CGCCGAACGCCGTGGCCGCCCGTAGCCCACCCCGGGAGAGCACGGCACAGCCGGGGTGGAAACAGGGGTGGGACCGGGATAGGGACTGGGATGGGACCGGGATGGGGACATGGATGGGGGCTGGGATGGGGATGCGGCAAGGAAGGGGATGGGATGGGACCAGGATGGGGAATGGGATGGGACTGGGATGGGGAATGGGAATGGGCTGTGGTCCAGGAAGGGGACCAGGAAGGGGGTGGGACCAGGATAGGGACTGGGATGGGAATTGGGATGGGGACCAAGATGGGAATTAGGATGGGACCAGAATGGGGACCAAGGTGAGACTGGGATGGGACAAGGAAGGGGACGGGATGGAGACCAGAATAGGAACCAGGATGGGAACTAGTAGGGAACTGAGATAGGGACCAGGATGGGACAGGGAGGAGACCAGGATGAGGATCAGGATGGGACTGGGATGGGGCAAGGAAGGGCACCAGGACAGGAACCAAGATGAGAATTGGGATGGGGACAGGGATGGGACTGCGATGGGACTGCGATGGGGATCAGGATGGAACCAGGATGGGGACCGCGATGAGATGGGATAGGAACCAGGATAGGAACCAGGATGGTGATGAGGATGGGGACAGGGATGGGAACCAGAACAGGACCTGGGATGGGGCCGGGGACGAGGCCGGCTCTTACCGCATGCCCAGATATCCACAGGTTTGCCGTAGGCTTCTTTGCGCAGGACTTCGGGGGAGAGATAGCCGGGCGTGCCGGCGAAGCCTGGAGCCGGAGAGAGGCGGGAGGTGAGCGGGCGCGGGGCAGGGCTGCGGCGGGGGGCCGGAGGGGCGCGCGGCGGCACTCACCGAACCAGGCCTGCTGATCCCCCTGCACCTCGATGGCGAGGCCGAAGTCAGCCAGCTTCACGGCCGCCCCTTTGCATTTGCTAGCCAGGAGCAGGTTCTCCGGCTGCCGCCGAAGAGGCATCGCACAGCGATTTCTTGGCCAGGAGCAGGTCCTCCGGCTGCCGCCGAAGAGGCATCGCACAGCGGTGGGGCCGAAGGAGGGACGGCGGAGGAGAGAGGAGGAGAAGGGGAGAAAAGCACACAACCGTTTGCAGCAACGGGTTGGAGAGCCACGCTTGAGCCCGGTCCCGGAGTTGCTAGGTCCTATCCGTCCCGGCTAAACCCGTCTGCTTCTCCACGCTGGTCCAAAATCCAGCTGAGGTTTGCTGGATGCATGCAGGTCTGAAATGGGTGGCATGACCCCCCTCCCTGAGAGCTGCCCCATCCCCGATTCGAGCCTCAAAGGGTGGATTTCAAGGCGAACGGTGCCTTCCCCATCCCTGTCCTGCTACAGCGCAATGCCGGGGCATCGTGGCAGCTGGGGTGACCCAAGCTGCCGCGCTGCAATGGCACGATTGGCGCAGCAGGAGGAGCACAGGTCTGTCTCCCAGCAAAGCCCAGCTCCACCGCTGCTGCGTGGTGGCATAACCCCACGTGCTGACGGCCAGCTCCACCACTGCCTCAGAGTATGATCCTGCATCCAACAGCCCGGCTCCAGCGCTGCATCCGAATGCAACCCCACGTCCCAGCTCCATCGCATCTCAGCACAACCTATATCCCAGCTCCAGCCCAGCGTGACTCCGTATCCCACCTCTATCACATCCCCGCATGACCCCAGGTCCCAGCTCCATCACTGCATCCCAGCACAAAGCCATTGCCCAGCTCCATCACCGCACCCGTGTCTGATCCCTGTCCCTGCTCCGTGATCACATCTCAGCACGACCCCACAGTCCAGCTCCATCACATGCCAGCATGACCCCATAGCCCAGCTCCACCACTGCATCCCAGGGAGAACATCACATCTCATCTCCACCCCTGCATCCCAGCACGATCCCAAAACCCAGCTCCATCTCACATCCCAGCCTGATCACATAGTCCAGCTCCGTCACTGCACCCATATCTGACTCCCCATCCCCGCTCCAGCACCATGTCCCAGTATGACCCCAAAGCCTAGCTACATCACTCCATCATAGGACAACCCCATTTCCCAGCTCCATCGCTGCACCCCAGCATGGCCCCATATCCCAGATGCAGCACCACATCCCTGCACAAACCCATATCCAAGCTCTGTCACTTCACCCAATTACAACCCTTATCCCAGCTCCACCACTGCCTCCCAGTGTAACCCCACAGCCATCTCCATCCACACATCCCTGCATGACCCCCATATCCCAGCTCCAGCATCACATCCCAGCACAACCTCTGTCCCAGCTCCATCACTCCATCCCAGCACAATGCCATGGCTCGTCTCCATCACTGCATCCGAGCACGATCCCATAACCCTGTTAAATCACTGCAGCCCAGCACAAACCCACAGCCTGGCTCCATCACCATGTGCCAGCTCCATCACTGCATCTAAGGACAAACCCACAGCCCAGATCCATCACTGCATCTAAGGACAAACCCACAGCCCGGCTCCATCACTGCATCTAAGGACAAACCCACAGCCCGGCTCCATCACTGCATCTAAGGACAAACCCACAGCCCAGATCCATCACTGCATCTAAGGACAAACCCACAGCCCGGCTCCATCACTGCATCTAAGGACAAACCCACAGCCCGGCTCCATCACTGCATCTAAGGACAAACCCACAGCCCGGCTCCATCACTGCATCTAAGGACAAACCCACAGCCCGGCTCCATCATTGCATCTAAGGACAAACCCACAGCCTGGCTCCATCACGGCATCTAAGGACAAACCCACAGCCCAGATCCATCACTGCATCTAAGGACAAACCCACAGCCCGGCTCCATCACGGCATCTAAGGACAAACCCACAGCCTGGCTCCATCACGGCATCTAAGGACAAACCCACAGCCCAGATCCATCACTGCTTCTAAGGACAAACCCATAGCCCAGCTCCATCACTGCATCCCAGCAACCTCCATTTCCCAGCTCCTTCACCGCGTCCCAGCACGATTTCATGGCCCTGTTTCATGAGAGCGTCTCAGCGTGATCCCGCAGCCCAGCTCCGCCGCCCATCCCAGCACAAGGCCGTACCGCAGCTCCACCACCACGTCCCAGGGACACCTCTCTGTGTCCCTGCCTCCCAGCACGATCCCACAGCCCAGCTCCACTGCTGCATCCTAGCAGCAGCCGGTAGCACAGCTCCAGCACCATGTCCCCTCAGACCCAGGGGGACCCAGAGGGGCGACATGGGGACACCGGACTCACCTTGAGGTCCCTGTGGACGACCCCCATTTGGTGACAGTGGAGCACGGCCTCGAGGATCTGCTGGATGCAGTGGCTGCGGGCAAAGGCGGCGGGGCAGGTTAGGGGGCAGCGCGGGGGCCCCACCGCACGCTGGGGGGAGGAGGGGGGACGGGAAAGCACCCATGGGGGAGACCCCCCCCTTCCTGTGCCCTCCGTCCTGCTCCACCACAAGT